ATATCCATTTGATAAGTGCTCTTCTGTTACAGTCCGAAGGATGCCAAGACAGACTGATTTTCCCTCGTACCAAGAGTGATTGATCCCCAAGGACGGTCACAGGTACTTGGATATTACCTTATGGCACAACACAGACATATGTGCAGAACTGCCAAAAGAAACTATTTATCGAGGGATACGTGCGCTATGCACGTTCGGGCGAATGTGGATTGACAGGTGACAGGTGCAACTGGTGGGGCAGGATACGTTCACCTTTTCTCGAACACCTGGTATCAATGGCCATTACCACAATTGGACCAATTCAAATTCAGCTGTCGTCATTTGCAGCATTTGTTTTGTTTGTTCCTGGTTATACGTTGCAGGTGTCCAGCTCTAAAACGTGGCCAGTAAATGATCGAGGCTGGTCCAGACAAACCATTGTAATTATGACCAACGATCCACGCGGCCAGCGATGTCACTGGGCCTGACTCCTAAAGACTGCGCTCTGTACCAGAATGATTATGAGCCATGGTGAAAGAAAATATTCAGAAAAAAACTGCTCCCCGCCCACCATGGAGCATCAACATTGACAGTGTTAAGTGAGTGAGTGAGTGAGTATGGTTTTACGCCGCTTTTAGCAATATTACAGCAATATCACGGCGGGGGGCACCGGAAATGGGCTTCACACATTGTACCCATGTCGGAATCGAACCCGGGTCGTCGGCGTGACGAGCGAACGCTTTAACCACTAGGCTACCCGACCGCCCCGACAGTGTTCAGTGGCATCGGATATACAATATGCAAACACCAGGGATACAGGGGTGTTATAACTCCTGCAGATTCGACACGAATAGCAACATTTGCATACCAAATTAAATGCCCGGCTGGTTCGGCCCATGACACAAAATTAGATACATACAGACTTCACCAGATTGGCCCATAAGCAACCGCCTTCTCGTCGACAATGTATTTTTTTCAACTTTTCAGGTATTTTTGGAGCCAATGTACTTTTTTCAGTACAATCCCCCAAAATATGGCTACCTGTATTAAAACTGAATTATATTTAAAATTTCTATCACTGTAACTTAATTTGCAACAAAGTTTGTTGTTTTGGAAACCGGGAAAATATCTCCTGTTCCAAAATTCCTACATAACAGTGGACCAAAAATTTCAAGCATTCTTACAAACCAATAGACACCAAACGATGGCTATACTGATGTCTGTGCAGAACGTTTGGTTCAGAAAAATGATCTGTCTTTAAGTTATCCATCAGAAACAATTTGTCAAATTTGTCAAATTTGTAGTCATCGTGATGTGACATAAATATATAACAACGGCAGTGTGCGTGGCTAGATTGACATCTGCGAAAAGTTTGGTCCAGAAACGGTCTGTAGGTTATACAAAGGAAGCAAACCCTACCCTCATTTGAAATGTCCTGCCATAGAAACCTGAAAAATAGAGATAAAGAAGAAAATCCTAAATATAAAGATGCACCTGTTCATTGCTTTACTGATATAGTGCAAAGTGTGATCCAGGAACATTGATCTGTCTTTGAGCTAAACGTGCCGGAAGGACAGCACGCATTCCTTGAAGCCCCTCACACGTTGTGGCGGGGATAATGTGTGATTTCAAGTTTTAAATACCAACAACATATATACCCTCTACAGAATACTTTCAAGACACGATTGTACCTTGCTCTAGAAGCAATATAAAGGGAGTGAGATGGGGTATTCTCATATTATACTAACGCTTCTTTCAATAGTTTTACGCGCCATTTTGCATGAGAGTGTTGCTTGACAAAATCAACTTTTAACATGCACCCAAAAGCCAAAACATAATGCAACTATGTTGATACATAATACCAACTTTCAGTGTTTTCCATGTTGAACATTTGAGGAAACGAGAAATGGTTTGATGTTTTAAGTATGGCGATTCATAAGAAGCTTGAAAACATTTCAACCGGTTTGTTCAGAGGAGTATGGTTTTGAAGACATGTATCCCAAAACAAAGCACTCTGAAACACTTGAATTAAATATGGCCGCCACGCCAAGAAACTTTTGACATGCAACCAAGAAACAAAATATGAAACAAATGACATTAAATCTTCATGCAAACTTTCAGTGAGGAACCTAACAAGAAACGAAGGACCTTACAAGACAGGGCAATGTTTATGAGACAATATCGATCAGAAACAACATCTAATATGGCCGCAACCAAAAACAATATCACAAAACGGCTAATATAGATTGATGTTTTATGTAAGGCGACAATTCTTAGAAAGATTGGAAGAAAGACGTGACCAATGACCAACTTCAAAGAACATTAAAAAGTGAATTATTTATTGATTATCCGTCCTAAGAATTTCCGTAGAGAATCAGGCTAATGTTGATTGAGGTATTTCTGGTACATAAATCGTCGGAATGACATAAATAATAAATCCGACGATTACAATATAGCAGACATTTTTGCTTCGACTCTGAAAAATATCGAATATGCATTAACACGGTCTCGCTCTGGCGCTCTCGGATGACGGCAGAAACCCCCGTTCTTGGTTTACGTCCCCTAGCGAGAAAACTGATGGATCGAGACTTTCAGCAATACCAAGGTTAACCTACGAATTGGATTTAATGTTTCCTCGGTTGTGGAAGTTTATCTGTATAACACCACTGACACACATACCCCTTTTATTGTATTTCATACATTAAGCAGTATATATTCATGTTAAAATGTTATGATAACTACAGTAGGCTATCGCATTAACTCGCTGCATTTTCGTAGTATTCAGATTTATTAGATGTTTCGCACACCCATGGACACTATTATTATTATTATCATTATGTTTGTTTATTTTTATTTTTTTTGTTTAACGCCGCACTCAGCAATATTGAAGTGTCTGATTCAGACAATCTAGTGATTGCCATCATGAGCATCGAGCCACGCAATTGGGATAAGATGGCATGAACTAACCAAGTCAGCGAGCTTGAGCACCCGATCCCGTTAGTTGCCTCTTTCGACAAGCATGGGGAGCTGAAGACCTATTCTACCCCGGATCTTCACGGGTCCACTTTAATGATATACTCTGTATTATTAGCACCATTTGTATAAGCACTGAAATGCAGCACAGATATTTGATCTAATCGTTCAATTCAACAACTCATAACAAGCAAAACAGTATGTTGGTAAATCAATTTGAATACAGACTACATATATTACTTGACAGTGTAATGTCCAAACATTTGATTTTTCAACTTTGTACACCGCTATCTCACATGTCATACATAACAAAAAACCTCATTCCTTGATCCATGGGGCTTTTGTTACAAAACGTGGTGACCAGAGAACAAAAGGTAAAATGCTTGACTTCCTCTTGATAACATCTATGTAAAATTTGGGGGTAAGACATTTAGGCAAAAAGTAGGAATCCCCATGCGCACCAATACTGCTCCCCTTCTTGCGGATCTGCTTCTTTAAGCATATTAATTGAAATTTCTGCTCGGATTGGCAAAGTCAAAACAAGGTAATTTGGCCAAGAAGATTGGCTTCAGGTATATCGATGATCTGATATCGTTCAATAACCATCAAAAAGCCAATTCCCTTCCACTGATTTACCCACCAAGAAATAAAGGAGACCAGTGAGACCTCCTCATGTTTGGGGCGGTCAGGTAGCCTAGTGGTTAAAGCGTTCGCTCGTCACGCTGAAGACCTGGGTTCGATTCCCGACATGGGTACGATGTGTGAAGCCCATTTCTGGTGTCCCCCGCCATGATATTGCTGGAATATTGCTAAAGGCGGCGTAAAACCATACACACTCACTCACCCACTCATCATCTGTTTCATATTTAGATCTATGCATAAAGATTCACATCTTCCTCGGGAAGACTGAAAGATTCAGAGTGACAAAACACTTTCCACAAGTCAACTTCCCTTCATGTCGAGCAAATACTCCAGCAGCTCCAGCATTTGGTGTTTAAATTTCACAACGTTTGAGATACAATCGAGCATGTTCTTTCTACAAAGATTTCAAAGGGTGTCAAACGACTCTTGTCCAGAAGTTGTTTGATCAAGGTTTCAACATTCAAGGCATCGGCTTTCAAAACGTTTTATGGTAGACATGTGGAGGGACATTTCCAAATCTGACGCATCAGTGACAAAACAAATTTTCAGGTGAACAATCGACATGCCTTTGCGTGTGTTTGTGACGGGCGCCACCGTTGGGGATACACACACCTGTGCACGAAAACCTGGTATCATTACTATTTGATAGTGATTAATAAACACATGCTCATGATAAAGTTGGAACCGTACAATCGACTCTGTTTTTAGAAGAGATTTCTTATGAATATGGAAAGGGTTTTGTTTTATTCGAATGCCTGTTCGCCCCGATTATGTCTCTGTGATTGTCATCACCATACCCGTGTTCGTGGATTTCACCAAATCGGTAAAAATCTAAGAATTGCGTCACTTCGGGCTTTCCTCCCACATTAAGCTGACACGCCGTGATATAACTGGAAAACTGTTAAAAGCGGCGTTATACCCAACTCGACCCTTGAAGATCCTGGGTAGAATAGGTCCTCAGCAACCCATGCTTGAGGTAACAGGCGACAATGCTTGTCGTAGGAGGCGACTAACGGGATCGGGTGGTCAGTCTCGCTGACTTGGTTGATGCATGTCATCGTATCCCAATTGCGGGGATCGATGCTCACGAGGGGCGGTCGGGTAGCCTAGTGGTAAAGCGTTCGCTCGTCACGCCGAAGACCCGGGTTCGATTCCCGACATGGGCATAATGTGTGAAGCCCATTTCTGGTGTCCCCCGCCTTGATATTGCTGGAATATTGCTAAAAGCGGCGATATCAATCACTGGGTAGTATGGTGTAGACTAGATTATTAACCGACCGCCGTCATATAGCTGGAATATTGTTGAGTGCGGCGGTAACCAACAGACAACAACAACAACAAAAACAACAGTCACTCACTCTTACGACAAACATTCGCGAGGTTACATATGCGAAAGTGGTACATACCCATTGGTAGAAACGAAACGAGATATGTCCCGATGAGAATAACGACGGTCTTGGTAAACTTCATACTGCTGGACTCCTTTTTGCTACCAGCAACGTCCGTGGCCGCAATAGCACGTGCGTGTCGTCTGGCTACCATGAAGATTTTCGAATATAGGATGGCGATAACAAAAACCGGAAAAAGAAAGACCACAAGTCCAAACCGAAGAAACCCGTTGTGCAGCACACCAAGAAAGGAACACGGCGGTTCTGATGGCGGTGGGTAGTCTCGCCATCCATAGGAGGGGAGGAGGCCGAGGTTGACGGAGAACACCCAGATAGCAGCCGACATGATGGACACGGACTTCCTGGTGATGACATCCTGGTAGCGGTAGGGGAAGACGATCTTCACGAACCTGTCGCCCGTCAATAACGAAAGATGATACACGGAACTCGAGATGAAGATAAATACTGCGCCAATGCGAATAAGGCATTCGATGGTGTTTTGAAAGTAGATGAGGTTGTATCCGACAGTGTGGATGATGAGGATCCCGGTGAGCATGTCCGTGGCTGCAAGATGGCACATCACCAGATCCGTCGGTTCCAGATTACCCCTCTTCACCAGAGTGTCGAGAACTATAGCGTTCAATGATAAGGCCAAGAATCCGATGATGAATATGACGATGTTCACAATAAACGTCACAAGTGTTATGTCACGGTCATTAAATGTCCGGAAAAGGATGTAGGAAGATCCTTCTGTTGTGTTGGACATGGTGTAGCTCCGTTACTCTGCTTCTCTATAGAAGTAATGTCTTACTTCCTGCAACCACAGTTGTCTGTGCCCTCAGTAATGACGTCCGCGGAACTCACGGAAGACGATCACCGTCCTATCAACGTGCACCGATTCCCTGGAAGAGATGAGGCATAAAGTGAGCGCCATTAGTACTAACATCATAAAAGGTCTGACCTGGAACATTCATGACCATCTGTCTGTCAAACCTTTACTGCACTTCGATCATTAATTACATATATTCATAGTAATGTCAATAAAAATCATCCTTCAGGTATCCGAAGTTTCTGCGATAACAGCTATCTCTTAGGGTGTTTGTTAGACCTACCATAGGCGTTTTATCCACTGCTAATGTCGTTAATTCATCTTCGAGGTGAAGTAGGCGAAATGGGGTTAACATTAACGTCGCATTCAGAATTATCATTTGTCTTCCATGTTCAACATACACAACTTCATTTTGGCGCATGCTGTTTTTATAAATATTAAATTATTTACGAATAAACCTACCAAAATTCGGAAAATTGTGGAAATGACAGGACGCCTTTTTAAACGTTTATCCTTTTTAATTATATACAATAAACAGTTACATTAGCCATATGAAAGTTAAGCAAAATAATAAACTTACATACGCCAAGGGGTTTTGTCAATTTGAACGCCCTCTTCTCCTTAACCTTTCCTGGATTGTCATTGTCAACGCTACAATTTCAGTTAGTTATGTCTAACAGAGCTTAGTGCATCCCTCGTGATGAAGCTGTGTATTGATTCACTCCGTAACATTATCGTTACCAGCGCTATGCCAACACTAGTCATCAAATTGTCAATAAATGCATTCACATGAACTTGATCAATGCACTGAGGACAGCTAATGCAAGGCTTCAGATGTCTTCATCTTCTTTTGAAGATGCTCTAATGAGGGGACGAGGACATATAAGCATCGATCATTATCTGTATAATCATAAATTTAGTATCTGTTCACAGACACACGGGTCGTCCCAGGCGCCGCAATTCGCTGTGCAGAGTCGTGTCCCTTGGACACGCCAGGAACCTATGATTGAGGATTCGAATGCCGGGTCGCCCCGATTATGTTTCTAGCTTTAATTTTGTCAGCACTATGCCATCTTCATCGCTTCGGGCTTTCCTCACGCATTAAGCTGACACTCAGTGATATACCTTAAATACTGCGTAAAACCAAACTCACTAATTCATTCAAAGAAACGGCACGTTTGATTATGATTAGATTTCGGTTTTGCAGCACATTAACGTGATGGAATCGTTTAAAAATTAAAAATAAAGTTTTAACGTATGTAAGTTTCTAAATAGTGTATTTGTGTTTCCGTGCTGTTTCAGGTGAACATTTGCATGTGTTTGTGGGGCTGGATACGCTCACCTATTTGCGAACACCTGGTGTCATCACTTTTTGATAGTGCTTCATAAACACACGTTCATGATAAAGTCGGAATCGTATATATACAATCGACTCTTCTGGCAAGGATTCCGTATGAATGTGGAAAGGGTTTTTGTTTACATGGCTATATTAAACCACAAAGAACCTATCGATTCTTCCTTCGGTTTGCTCATAAACTACGTTGCTATGATTGATGACACATGCAGCTTTGTATACAGGTAGAACTACCTGACCAGACACATCCATGTCATACATGACATTTTCTCATCACGTGCGAGAGAGATGGCCGACCTTCCACACTATTATGTCATAAATGCAGATATAGAATTAATACAGTATAAGATGAATTGGTTAAAACAGGCAAATGAAAAGCCAATTTCACCAGGGAATATATATATATATATGTGTGTGTATATATATTTATCGTTATTTACAGTTATGGCCAGATGAGACTCGTACGTGGTACGAGTTGAAAGCGCTAGCCTATTAAAACTGTGTTTAATCTTACTCCACTTATTTAATTATTACTATATTGTGCCTGAGAGTTAGAACTTTACTGTGCTTTATATATATATATATATATATACATACACACATACACACACACACATATATATATACATACACACACATATATATATATATATATACAAACACACACACACACACACACACACACACACACACACACATATATATATATATATATATATATATATATATATATATATATATATATTCCCTGGTGAAATTGGCTTTGTTCAATAGAGGGTCATTGGTGTATAATATGAGTTAATATTTAAGGCCACATCGGCAGTTGGCTATCAATACCATGACGAGAACAAGATGTACAATTATAATAAATACATTTAAACTGAATAACCAACTGTCGTCGATGAACAGTAGTATAACTACAACTTTACAGATGTTTTCTTTACTTGTTTGAGAACATTGAAAAGAATAAACTACATTTCAAAAACACAATCGCCAGAAACGAAAGGTATCATCTTACAATGATGAGACAGAGATCGTTTTGCTCATTGCGCTCATGTTTTCAGTGACTCGGCGCGACAGCCGTTTACAACATTCACTCACTCTCTAAGTGAAATGATGACATTTTCATTGTGTCCACATCCACACTGTTAGAAGTGTGTTTAGACAGTGTGTGTGAAAACAGACAAGACATGTTCAGATCTAAACATGATTAGGATTGAATGCAAATGTGGTGTGTTCTATCGAAACGCATTTAGATCGAAACACATGAAATGAGTCTCACAGCCTTAACGAAATCCCCATAATCTAAATAGCTCCGAATTTAAACACGTTAACACAAATTTAGATTTTAAACATTTTTAAAGTTTTAACATGTTTAAAAAACAGGTTCCAAGTGATGTATAACTTTGAAACAGAAAGTCGGTGCCTGTAGCTACCTTAAGAACAAAACCATCTGCATGTCCCGTTCAATATCAACACTGGATTCGGAAAATACACATACCAGTAAACGTTCAAACAGGAAAGACCGCTACCTGAAGATCAAAGTTATGATCACGACCGCTTTGGAGAATATACATTCCCAGTACGATACAACTTGAAAAAGAAAAGTCTGTGTCTCTAACTACCTCGGGAACAAAGTAAAAAGCACTTCTGGTTTCAAATTCCTTCAGTCTCAACCATTAGGCGACATAAAAAATTGGGAGGGGATTTTGTTATATAACAGCTGCAAAACAGATATATTTTAGTTACGATTTTGAGCCTGCAATTTTTAACACTTTACAACTGCGCCATTTTTTGTTTCAAGGACTTTTTTCAACGGTGACAATGTACTTTTACGATAAATTCCCAGACAACCCTTCCGCCTCCCCCGAATATTATTGAAATAATCGGTCCCTAACGGTAATACATATTGCGAATAACTATCTCTCCGAACCGAACTTTATCCCACATTACTGAACTGGACTTTCTTCCGTTCCTCAGCACTGTCTGCAGCTGCCAAAACAGTTGTTTACAGGGACAATGCTACTTTACAAATTTCTCAAACCTTGAGGACAACCCCGAACTGTTCTTATGTTGCCCATTAACGTGATGATTTACAGGTGGAAATGAGCCTGCTGGCACAACCTTATGCCAACAGAAACCAACCTGAAGTATGGCCGATTGCCGTCATTTTCAGTTGAAGACTATTTGGCATTATGCGACAGAAGAGAGTGTGAGAGACTGCGTAACTATGATTTTGTGGCCCTAACACAATGGTTAGTTTGATAATCTTTTTGGTTTGTTGTTTAACACCGCACTCAGCAATATTACAGCTATATGACGGCGGTCTGTAAATAAATGGCGTTCCAATATGGAATGTATACAATTCCAATGGGTTATCGGCAACCATTGTTATATTCGTCAATTCGTAGGCTATCGACAGATGTTTTTATACGCAAGCTTATTGTGTCCAAAGGTATGTTAATTTTGAGGTATCAAATGGAGTTAGATACTTGATTTTAATCTCAATTTGACCACTCAGAATTAAGCATTCTCCACTGTCATGGTATAATATCAACCTGACAACAGATCCATAAGTACTCAGCGTGTAAATAAACATAGCAGTTGTATTCACAGCTCTGTACAAACATTGTACAAACGAACTATATCAATGAAATCAAAGCGTGCAACCTTATTCCCATGTCGATAATTTTCCATGTGTTGATTGATGCACCTAATAAAATCACCTTGGAAATGGAAATTATCCGTTCATCGTTTACAGTTGTTAATCATGTAGTATTTGCACCTGCAGGATAATGCTGAATACATTTACTTTTCTCCTTTCGGTCCTGTCCCGGATGAACAATAAAACCTCTGACACTTGCTCGACTGTTATGAACTGATTTTTTCTATTGTTGTGAAGTTGACATTCAAACATTCTGGAATTGGAATATGCATGTGATTGATTAGTTAACCAGGTTACGGTCGGCGGTAGTACATGTATATGGTATGACTTAGAGACAAATCTTATTGAGATGCGAGCAGGTTCTATTAGGACCCGACGATTTGATGATTTGATGGCGTTTGGGGGTGGCTGGGGAAATGCTTGAAACAAATAATTTTGCTTTAGGCTGTTGATAAACATAGGATAAGTCTGCCGCTTAGACATTTAAATTTAGCCCCCCCCCCCCCCCCCCCCCCTCCCAGAGGTCCTTTACTCTATCAAATCGAAAAACAAGTTTCTTATACAAAGAGCGTTCAACCTAATTTACGGGATATTTGTAATTTTAAAAGAGCCATGTCAGAATAACTTCAGACATACCTGTTTACATATCACAGTGTCCCTTGGAACATATTGCAAGATGTACGACAACAAACAGCTACAAAGGTTACGTTTGAAAAAAAAGCGCTGAGGAATACCCAAACGCTATTTTCCCCACGAAGTCAATCTAGACTCACCTTTCCATGGCATCAACTGTTGCAACTAATCGTTATGTTGTGGCAGACAATATTCCAATTACAATCAGTCACGCTGACTGCCAGGTGAAACCACGAAAACTCCCTGCAGCAACGGCGGTTTCGGTCGTGAAACAATCACTCTTATTGGTTTTCTGAATCCTCACACTATGTTCACCTCAAATGAGATTTCTTGGGTTTCACAGAAGCGGTTTTCTTTGTAAAAAGGCTTTTTCAGGATCCATTACAGAATAATGTGGCCACTTATTACAAAAC